GGCCTGTCAAAGAAACTGCGGGACCGAGCATTTATGCAGCTCCTGGAGGTTTTTTCGTTGCTTATGCCAGAAGTGGATGTTTTATACAAAACTCTGCAAAAACGAAGCATCGATGCACCTGGGATCAACAGCGCGCTCTGCCGCTTCAAGGAAAATGTCCAGAAAATGAGGCAGCAAACTCATGCATTGGCCGCCACCACTCATGATGGAACAGACGAGCCAGGCCGATGAGTCAGCAGCACAGCGCCGGTAATGAAGGAGGCATGTGACATAGTCATCTCACAGGTGGAACAGAGGTTCTCACAGAGTGACCATTTGATCGCTGCAAAGCTCGTTGACAGCTCATTCTTCCCACAGCATGTCCTGTCATTTCCTACACCTGAGCTTGACTGCGCAGTGAAATTGTGGCCTGCTTTGGGAAACAAGGAGAAGTTGAAGTCTGAGCTGACCACGCTCTACCGCCACAGTGAACTTCACACTGGAAACACTGCCCTGTCTCTGTTGAAATCCATTCACGAGAACAACTTGGAGGATAGGTTTGCTGAGACTGTTATTTTGGTCAAAATAATAGTAACAACTCCGATGACGACATCCGAGTCAGAGAGGAACTTTTCCACCCTCAAAAGGATAAAGACTTTCACTCGCAACACCATGGGACAGCTGCGACTTAACGCATTGGCCATGCTTTCAATTGAAAGCCAGTTGATCCAGCAACTACAGGACTTCATCCCCAAAGTGATAGAAACATTCTGTCAGAGGAAGGACCGCCGTGCCGCTTTTCTTTTCAAGTGAGCCTTCAGCTTTGGTAAGTTCATTTATGTCATATATTTTGTTGATCTTCTGTGTTTTGCCTCTGCTGGATCGATTGATATTGTGACCTCGGTGATGAGTGTCTGTGTTTTCCTTATATTTACAGTCTATGGTGTTTTAATGCTAAAGCATTATGGTGGTTGTTGTTGTTGTTAAGAATTGCTTTGTGATGGTGCCCTTTACTTATGTATTAAGCTGCATTACAATATGACATCCCCACGCTGTGTACCGTACATTTACGTACACAGTGTACGTAAATGTATGCGCTGACAGTGTTGCTCCGTGTGGTCTTCAGTATGTAATTTGACACTCCCCCCCCCCCTCTCTCTCTCTCCCCCTCTCTCTCTCTGCCCCACCTCTCTCTGTCCCCCCCCTCTCTCTCTCCCCCCTCTCTCTCTCTCTCTCTCTCCTCCCCCCTCTCTCTGTCCCCCCCCCCCCCCCTCTCTCTCTCTCCCCCCACCTCTCTCTGCCCCCCCAGTTTTGTACACATAGAAACGCCACTGGGTTGAAGGGCCAGGCTCCGGAGTTGTGGATGTCAGGGATGTGAGATTCAAGTTGTTGAATTTCAGTTTAGTTTGACTGAATTTGTTTTCTTATGCGCTGGTTCTTCTGACATGTTTGCAAGTTTATCTATCTAGGTTAGCTGACACATACAGAACAACGTAACAAATAACGTAAACAACGTAACAAATAAACAAATCTAAGCTTTTTTATTTTATTGGTTGCATATCAGGTTGAATAATTAAAACGAAAGTTAATTATAATCAAATATAATCAATCATATTCTTGTATAACCCACAATGAAAATGCTTCTTGATGGTTTTTGATAAACAAAGTGGTTTGTTAAAGGGGACCTATCATGCAAAATGCACTTTTGTACGTCTTGTATACATGAATATGTGTCCCCGGTGTTCCAGGGAACTCACCAAGTGTCAGAAAACACAACCCTCTCTATTTTCCTCCATACCCAAATCTCTAAAAAAGGGGCTGCAACGGATCTGATAAAAACTGATCCAGATTTGAACACTGTCCTGACGACAGGACAGTGGCGCTACCGCTATTGGGCCAACTCTCCACCTATCAGGGGAATGTGGGGCGGCAGGAACGGGGCTGTCAGCATCAGCTTGTAGATGGTATTTTACACTCGATGCGCTCTGAAACTACGGCGGCCGAGGACAAAAAATACACATGCGTTAATCGCGTTAAAATAATTAGTGGCGTTAATTTTTTTTTGCGTTAACGCATTATTAACGCGTTAACTTGACAGCCCTAATAAATATACCTTATATAGGTATGGCCCTACAATATATCATTTACATATAGCATGATAGGTCCACTTTAAGTTGAGAGTAAGGCCTATAATGGTTTATGGCTGTCACTGATAGCTACTGATCTACTCTTAAAACACACTTCTTCTCCCTGGCCTTTTAGTCAGAGCGGAGCACGACTCCTGACTTTTCCCTGTGTTTTTTTTATATATCTGTTGTAATTTATTGTCTTTTATTGTGATTGTGGTAATGTGTTTTTATGTGATTGTAGTATTTATTACATGTACAGCACTTTGGCCCGACCAAAAATCGCTTTTAAATGTGCTTTATAAATAAACTTTGATTTGATTTGATTTGATAGGGGAGACAGTTTCTTCCCTCTTCCCTCACAGCAGTACACAGGGAGGGGGGCTCCTGACTTTTTGGAGATAGACTGAGGCCCCAAAAAGGTGGTTATGTCATAGCCGAGAATAATATTTTGCAAGTCCTGCAGAGGAGGGGTCATGAACTTTTTACATAAGCCTGGGAAGGTGTGTCTTATGCCAAAGTCATAGAATATGTCTGGTCAAGTCCAGTTCTGTACATCAGAGGCCATGCCCAGTTTCCACAAATATGGGTATGGAGGAGGTGTCTTTAGGTTTTTCTATCCTGTTTCTGAGCATAAAGACACTGACAGATGGGGAGGAACTTTCTTTTTGGAGAGAGCGAGAGAGAGGGGGGTGGATCCCCTGGTATACTCTCTCTCGGTAACACTCTCTCCCGGAGAGCTGGGTTTTTACTCTCGGTAAGGTTCTCTCAAACTTGGTAAATATCTCTCGAATTTCTTTGTTGAAAGTGGAGTGAATTTCAAATCAAATCAAATCAAGTTTTATTTATAAAGCACATTTAAAAGCGATTTTTGGTCGAGCCAAAGTGCTGTACATGTAATAAAAACACATTACTACAATCACAATAAAAGACAATAAATTACAACAGATATATAAAAAAAAAACACAAGGAATAGTCAGGAGTCGTGCTCCGCTCTGACTAGAAGGCCAGAGAGAAGAAGTGTGTTTTTAGTGTAGACTTAAAAACCCCTAGGGTCTGGGCCGACCTCACATGGAGGGGCAGAGTGTTCCAGAGCCTAGGGCCAGCTGCTGCGAAGGCTCGGTGCCCTCGGGTTTTAAGCCTGGTCTTGGGCACTACCAGCAGCAGCTGGTCAGCAGACCTTAAAGCTCTGGCTGGGGTGTAGCGATGGAGGAGTTCGGCTATATAGGCCGGAGCCACCCCAATTTCTGGGTTGAATGAGTGGAATGAATTGTAGTGTGTTTGTGAGTATTAGTAACCGCCACCTGTGAGGATCTTCCTCCGAATACATGCGGGATAAAGGTATGTGTTTGTGAATGTTAGTACCCGCCATCTGTGTCGGAAAAAAGGTATGGAATTGATGTGAATTGATTTGGTGAATGAAAGTTTGAATGTGCTTTTTATTATCACTGGTCTTTTATGAGGAAATGCCTCTAAATTCTATCGGGAGATTTTAAATTTCACAACTGAATTGGGCAGTTGAAGTTACAAATTATGGTAATAAATGTAAAACTGTGAATTAAAGTTTCATATTAGAACATGATCACAGCATGATAGGTTTAGTATGATTATAATGTTGTAACGAGAGAAGGTAAAAACCCTGTATAAGTTTGGACCTATTTTTCTTTAAATAAACTGATCCCACCTTTTTGATTGGGACAACTTAAAAGACGTCTGTGCTCTCCTCTCCTGCTTCAAAGGTAAGATTGCACACTGCCACACTCACACTTAGGTAGGGCCACACCTCATTTACTGATATCAAAATCCTTCGGGATCGCTTAAACAGATTTAGGGGGTCGTCTGAATTGAAACAGCAGTTCATTGAACCTGGTTCTTCAGGAGTTAATAGAGGTGAGATCTTGCTGACGTTGGTGGATCTGAGCCAAGCAGCAAACTTACATAGACTCAATAACTTCGGTTAGGTTAATTAGTAGGTCTGAGTAATTTGCCGGAATAAATTATCAGCTCCTACCGACTCTTACAATGGATACATTTGAATGGTGTGAAAATGTCCTATTTGATTGGATTAAAATGTACATATTCTTCCTGTTATGTCTGCCTGCTTTATTTGACCTAATGCAAAGTGACCTGCTCTATCGAAATCAGTCGCATTGACCCGAAGACACATTTTGAGTTGTATACACTGTTGGAAAGAGGAGATTCCTAGCTTTCTAATGATATCAGGATTGTTTTTGTACTCCAAATATTCAGCAAAATATGTCACATTATATAATGACTATCACTGAGTCATCATTTTGAGAAAAAGGCCTTTAAAGTTTCCTCTTCTCTGGAAGCGGAGCAAATGATCAAAATAGTCCGGAGGGAAGATATTTTCTTTTGGATTACTGGTCTGGGGGAAGCCCGCGAGTGTGTGTGTGTATGAATACGTGTGTGTGTGTGTGTGTGTATTTTTGCATTTGTTTCCCGGGGAAAACCCTCATGAGAAACACCGGCTGTTGTTATGCCTGCTGTGACGTTAAGTTCTCCACTTGTAATTATGCCGCCACAAGCTTCAAAGTTGTATTTATCATCTGAATTTGACGAAACAAATTTAATATTCTGAAAGCCAAGACTTTGTTTATTTGAAATCAGATGAAAACAAACTGTAACGGACCCTGCCGTGTTATCTATGATTACTATACGCCTTACATTCATTACATCAAAATGAGGGAGGGGAAGCGGCGCTGTGGAACAGCAGAGTGGCGAGTGAGAGCTGTCATCTTCCCTTTACAAGCTTCAAAAATGCCTGTAGCTAATGAGATTTAATATAACAATCAAAAATAACAAAAAATACACAGCTAGATCAGATGGCGTTCTTTTTAGATGCGACTTTAGAGTAGAGGGGAATTATTGAAACGGGATGTGTACAGTGTTCCGCGGCATCCGCTGCTGCGAAAATGTGGGGCAGGGCTGTAAAGTGGGGGGGCCAATGGCCCCCTGGCCCCCCCGCTTCCGGCGGAGAAAAGGAGAAACGAGAGAAGGAAAGTAGCCTTCGCTCAGAATCTGTGTTACCTTCAAGGACAAGGGGAAATAGTTACAGATAACAAAACAGTGGACTAGACTTCAACTGTCACACACACTCCACAAGGTTTTGCTTCAGATTCGAGTCGAGGTATCTGTAAAGATACGGGTCCAGCTCACGGAGAGCATTGATCAGAACCCTGCAGGCTGCAGCTCCTTTATTTCGCACCGCGTCCACCACCTCTCGTGCTCCGTCATTTTTGGGTTTGGCTCTGGCTGACGTCATTTCAGATTCACTGATCACTCCAGACCCAAAGAGTTTATCCAGAAGGACGTTCAGCTGAGTTTGAGACACTCTTTGAATGAACTCTGTCCGAACTGAGAACAGCCACTGGTCTGCTGGGACTCTGCCCTCTGCTGGGACATTTATCTGGGATAATTGCCGCCTTGGAACTGGAAGATAAACAGGGAAAATACTTTTGTTGAATAACAAACAATCACATTAAACAGATCTCTTACAAATTAAAGTAACTCAGCATTCCCAGAGGTGGATTTATGTTCACTTGAAGTTATAATATGTAACATTTCCTCATTAAAATGTCTAAAAACTAATACACCTATGTTATTCATGTTTTGTTGAGTTGTGTACGTACATTATCTCAAATGGTTCAGAGAGATGTGTCATTTTAATCAAGGTAACAGTACGTTCATCACGGTCTCTTGTAATGGAGGCATATCCACTTAACCATGAGAAGATGAATACTACAACTCCCATGATGCCACGCTGTTTCACCACCACACTAGTTTTTATTATAGTTTTAGAACATTACAGGTTGTGTGTTTAATGTCGTAATGATGCGCTACCATGGAGCCTTAATAGAGAATGCTATGAGATGGAGCTTTAGAGTTATCAGTCTATCACTGGGTCTGAGCTCAGGTGGAGTCTTTACCTTCCAGTGACACGCGATAACTCCAGACTACGTTTCCACCTTGGTCCTTGACCTTCAAAACCACTCTCTCTGTGCTCGTCGTCAGGGAAACTTGAAATGTCGGAGGGTAATTTGGTCCAAACCTGGATTCAAATATTTTACTCTGAAAACCAGAAGCAGAAGTTAAATGTTTATCTGTTTCTTTCCTGATTGTGAATCCACATGCAGATAAATGTGTGTTAATGATCATTGTGTTTCATCAGAGGAGTATCAGTGACTCACCTCAGGCTGAATGAAGAAGCCCTCAGGTTCACAGTGCACACTGTAACCTTTAAACAGTTCCAGCTCACACTCGGAGGAGTTTGTGATGTGCACAGCACAGCTGTGTTTTTCAGCAACCTTCAGTAACAGGACATTTAGATCAATTTAAAACAACATATGTTGAGAGACCTGAATTACAATCAATTAAGAATAACATTATGAGGACATATGTGAGATTAATGATAGTGTACAGTATAGGTAGTAGGGCTGTCCCGAATACAATTTTTCGCGCTCCGGATATTCAGTAGTAATCAGCAGCGAATATTCGGATATCCGGCGCGAGGGGGGGGGTGGGCAGTAATCAGCAGCGAATAATCAGATATGTGTGAAGCGAAGTGAAGCGTGACGTTCGCGTTCGTGACGCTGTGAGTGAAAGATTGAGAGATTGAGTGATGAGATTGTATATATTTCCGCATTTTAACAGTGCAATTAAACAGTATAAATATAGTATAAGAATGTGGTAATTTGCCTTTATTGATAGCATACATAAAAAAAAAACGAATATCCGAATAATGAAATTGAAAACCGCATAGTAGGCCAACGACCGAATATTCAGATATTCGGGTACAGCCCTAATAGTTAGGTGTTAATCTTTTTCAACAGCTTAAACATTGCAAAGTTCAAATATGGGAGAGTTAGATATTTGAACTAACGTTATTTGTCATTCTAGTCGGACCCATTAGAGCGTAAAAACTGTAACTATAACTATCTGAAATAAATATGTGTACCATTAACTGTATTGCATTGTCTTCTTATGCGCAATTTCTTCATATTGTCTTTGTCTTTTTCGTCCTGCATTTATTGTGCCCCTCTCAGAAAATAACTGGCCCCTACCTGGCCCCCCCCAGTCAAATTGGTCTAGAACCGCCACTGAGGACAAGTCAGCCAGAAGGTTTATTACCTGGGCAATACCAATCCCCCCACCTATCTCTGTAACCCCCCTTTTGTATTCTCTCAAATCCTTATCACCTTAGCGTTGTCTTCTCTTTACTTTTATTTGATTAGTTCTTAGTATTAAAGATTTTGCTTTTTTTTGGTAACTAGTCTCCATTGACACCCTTGATGGCGTTTCTGTTGAATTTGTTGATACCTACAAATATCTGGGCTTTTGGTTGGACAGTAATCTGAACTTTAAACACCATATTGAAGTTTTAACAAAGAAATTGAAATTCACTCTTGGCTTCCTTTTCAGATTTAAATGTTGTTTTTCAACTTCATCCCGTAAAAGGTTGGTCTCTGGCTTATTCCTGTCCCAGCTGGACTACGGTGATACCATTTATAGATTTGCCTGTCCCACTGTTTTGGCCAAACTTGACCCACTTTACCATGCTGCACTGCGTTATATATCAAATGCACCCTATAGGACTCATCATTGCACATTGTATAGCCTAACTGGATGGTCCTCACTTACTATGCGTAGGATGCAGCACTGGTTTTTATTAATGTATAAAGCCATTTTAGGTAAGCTTCCACTCTACATATGTGTCAGATTTGCTCCAGTTTGTGACTCTTACAAACTCAGATCCAGTGCCCGGATACGGGTCCAGGTTCCTACTGTACGGACTGAGGCTGGAAAAAGGAGTCTTTCTTATTATGGTCCTTGGTCTTGGAATGACCTTCAATCACGCCTTAAACTGAGGGCACTTGTCTCTATTTCATGTTTTAAATTGAAGTTGTCTGAAGTCCTCACCACCAGCTGCTCTTGCAGTAACAAGTAGTGTACTTTTTTTATTGTCCTAATGTGCACAATGTAGTGACTGCTTTTTCGTCTTTTGTTTTCTTTATGTTCTCTGTATTTTATATGTTTGTGTTATGTGTAACGTTGCTGCCTTCTTGGCCAGGTCAGCATTGAAAATGAGATTTTATCTCAATGTTTTTTATCTGGTTAAATAAAGGTTAAATAAAATAAAAAAATAGTACTACTGATGTGCCGAGTCACGGTTGAGAAACTGCTTTATTGTAAATAAAATACTGCACACATGCTGAAACTATTGTTCAGGATGATAATAATCACAATGCAAAGAAGACCAACATTGAGAAACTTCAGATGGTTCAACAGGAAGAGGTGAAAACAGAGGGAGGGGACCAGAAAGGAAACCTTTCTTTGGAGACAGAGGTACCTGTCGCAGGTGTCATCAAAAAGGTCATTGGGTATACTGAAATACTACCACAGGAATGGGATAATGATCAAGGAAAATCATACCCACCATTTGGAGTGTCAGTGAATAGACCATTTGCCAACAAGAACTGCCCATTTCAAAGATCATGACTTCCTGAGCAAGCCTCAGATTCAACTGCCATTCTACAGGAAGATAGTAAAAGTCCCCAGACAAATGTTTCTGAAATAACTAATCAGTTCTACCTTTCTCTTCACTACAAATCTGAACAACTTCCAATGTTCAAGATAACAATTCACGGCAAAACCTACGAGATGTTGGCTGATACAGGAGCAACTGAATCTTCATTGAGATCAATAACAGAGGATTTTGAGATGACTAAGGACATAAAGACCTGTATTGGAGTTACAGGCACACCTATAAAATGTGGAGTGACTAAACTATGTCCAGTTGAATGCAAAGACTTTGATGTTTCAAATATACATCACAAATTCGTGATTGTGCCAGGTTGTCCAGTAAAATCTGGCAGGAAGACATCTACTGTGTGCTCTAGGCCTGACTATTGTTTGCAATGACAATGGTTTAGAGTTGAGGAAATCTGAGGTTGTTGACAGGCTTTTTGATCTTATGACTTGCCACTCCCCAAGCACTCCTGAGTCTATTAAAAACCACCCGGCGTTGAACAGGGTTCCAGAACAGTTATGGTCTACTCATAAGTATGATGTGGGTCTAATTAAGGATGCAACACCAATGGTTGTGGTTCCTAAATCTGATTACCGACCTAATAAACGGCAGTACCCTCTGAGACCTGATGCAGAAGAAGGCATGGCTCCCATTATTGAGCAACTCCTAAAAGACGGAATAATTGTTCCAGTGCCAACATCTCCATGTAATACTCCACTTTTCCCAGTAAAAAAGGCAGATGGTGAAACGTGGCGACCTGTTCATGATTTGCATGCTGTAAATGAAGCTGTATTTGCTCGAGCACCTGTTGTACCTTACCCAGCAACAATCTTGTCTTCAGTACCTGGCAATGCAGATTGGTTCACTGTGATAGATTTGGCTAATGCATTTTTCAGTGTTCCAGTTGATCCTGAATCTCAAGATTGGTTTGCATTCACATTCAAGAACAAAAAGTACAAGTGGACTCGATGTCCACAGGGCTATTCAGAATCGCCGACAGTATATTCAGCTTCCTTGCAAGAGAATTTGCCAGGTTTTGTGTTTCCTAGGGACAGTACCTTAATTCAGTACATTAGGTGCGTTCACACCGGAGTACTTTGGAGTACTTTTCCCACAATAGTTCATCAGAACTACGATATATTTGCGTTCACACCAAAAAGCCCCAGGAACTAAAGTAGCTCAAATTAGTTCGTCAGACCCGCTTTTCAGTCCCTGCTAGAGAGCAGGGACTGAAAAGAAAGTAGTTCGTTCGTCTGATTGGCTGTGCGGAATGCAAACCACGCCCGTTTGACTCTGAATTTTTTTTTGGAAGCGGCCATTGTATTTGCTCGCTTCGGCAGAAGCTTCTACTGAATGCAGTTTCCGTGGCTCAGCAAAGTTAGCAGACCTGGCAAAGTCATGTCGTGACGACTACGAAGGTAAAATAAAATACATGCACTGCACTGTTTTAATCTGCACAATACTGGTCTTAGATGTACTTTTATTTGCTCAGTAGATCGAGCTAGCCATGCTAGAACTTGCTAACGTTAGGTCCAAGCTGGCTAACAACATCTAGCTAGCTAGCTATTCTCAGCCATGCCCGCTATGAACACGTTTTGACTTGTGAATAAGTGTGCAATGTTCTGTAATTTGCTTCACTAACTCATGGCACTAATCGTGTGTTTCAGGCGAGGTGTTTCTCTCAGGATTAGAAACTAGTTTTCCCCTCCGGGATAAAACGATAATATAACATTAGCAATTAGCATGCAAGCTGGACATAATGCTACCTCTGTATTCTTACCTCTAACAATACATTGTAGTTGCTATAATTTCAAGTAATTTGCAACATTCATTCTACATGTTAATGGTAAAAGCTTAAACAGTTGATTACCTGCCTGCCACAAAGACTGATGTTCTAATATTTTTGCACATTTAAGTAGAAATGTAATTGAAATTCTATTTACTGCCTAAACATTGTTCCTTGTCATAGTATTATCCTAAATAGTTTGACCTTGTTTCCTCAGAAGGCTTCTCAGACTACATGGAGGATCCCTCAGAGAAACACAGTTTCCACGTTCAGTTCCCCCCCGCTGAGAGTAGGCAGCTCCACACCCTGCGCCCGGTCAGCGGACACCATCAGGACTACTATCTGATCACAGAGGATCCCATCCTGACCACTGCTGCCATACTGCAGCAAACAGGAGGGAACGGAGGTGAAAACACACTTTATACATTTAGATATGTGGAGCACAAAGAAAAGCATTGCTAAAAAACATTTAGCAGCTAAACTGTGGATAACAAGTAAACCACATTGGTTTGTTATTCAATATGGCCGCCAAAAGCTTTTTGAATCATTACATGTCACTTGTTAGACGCTTTTATCCAAAGCTTACATACTCAATACTGTGGGCAATCCCCACAGGAGCACTTTGGGGTGAAGTGTCTCAGGGACACAACGACATGCTGACTGCAGTGGGGTTTGAACCTGTGCTCCCCTGATCCGAACACCAATGCACTTATCCACTGCGCAACACGCCTCCCTATCATGTCCTGAGAGCCCTCCATCCCCCAATTGCTAGTGCCTTCACCATTTAAAATGTTAATAGTCAAATCAAAGGTGTTCCCCGTGTTCCTCCTGTTGTGTGCCTGCAGAGACAGACTCAGAGGTGGAGATCGCCCACAGGGATGACTCTGACGTGGGGGGCTCTCTGTTATGGGCTGCTCCCCTTCTGGTATTTGGACAATGTTGTCTCGTTGTTGCGATTAAACTGATCTTGTATCTTGCATATTTCACCTTAG